TTCAGAATTATCTGGAGAGCATGTTAAAACGCACATTCCTTGGTCCCACTCTAGAAGATTGCAATCAGTAGGTCTGCAGTGGGGCCCAAGGATCTGTATTAACAACCAGTACCTTAGGTAATTCTGGTACAGTGGCCCAGGATCTCATCTTGAGAAGCATCAATTGCCAAATTAAGAGCAAAAGTTCCCCTCATTCCTTCATACCCAGGCATATTTTCCTACTCTTGTAAAGCAAAATATCTTACAAACAGTAAATTTAAATTATCAGTGTCAGCAGAAAGTAGCACAAACACAGCTAACCCAAAAGAGTAGTTTATCTCCCACAAAGTCATGCTTGATTTTTGATGAGTTATATGATTTTTCTCAGACCCAAATAGCCCTCTTCTCTCATTGTGACAACCCTTACTTTAGATAAGCCATAGATAAGACTGGGTGACTCATTTTCTTCCCATTTGTATGGATTTTTCAAGTTTTTATGCAGTGATCTCATGCTTGTTCTTAAAAGTAGACAAAAATCAAGTGCTTTTTACAAGGTAATCTAACTTACGCAAAATTTAAATGTATATGATCTATTATACATTGTGAAGTTATCCACTTCACAAAATAATTCTTCACATTGCAGAAGAACTTGCTTCCATAAACACATCCTTTAGAAGAGATATCTGTGTAGTTTTCAGAATGGTGGTTCAGTGATGAGCATTTGGCATCTAGGCTGAAGGGGCCCGGAAAGCATTTTTCTTATAAAAGTAAGCCACACCTTCAAAGTGACTGTATGTTTTCAAACAGTTCACGGGGGCGGGGGAACAGCCAAGAGAAATGCTGGGCTTAGTTGGTACTAAAAGTTTTCCACAAAATAATCAGCCCAATGTAGAATTCCATCAGGACTTGCCTTATTTGGTAACCATTTTAGGCAACACCCCTGCCATGGATGAAAGGTAGCAAAGAGGCTTTAAAAGATTCAGGTCTTACTCCCAGAAAAATGTAGAATCTAAGGGGGAGATGGAAACATGTGCTAAGTAGATCAATAAAGCCCTCAGTCAAAGACCCCCCTGGGGAGACTGACTGCTGGAAGGGTGGGAGGGGGAGCCCCTAGCTTGCCCCAGCCAGCATTGAGCTAGGGGCCTGTTTTGCCACGTCCATCTCTGTCTCAATGGAGTAAGTACTCAATTCACAGTGAAGGACATATTGGAACTGACAGCCTTACCATTGTGTATATAATATGTCATGGCTGACAGATGAAGAAATGGGATTCCGTGAAATGCAATGGGATATAGCCATCAGCCAAGGCTGGAGAAAAGCCGTGTTCTCCTGGACCCCTTAGAGAACACTCCTCAGTTCTCTTTGCCCCTTCACTGCAACCCATCTCAGTGCAGGGTTTAAAGCACCATTTCCCCCCATTAGTCCTGATCCTTTGTTGTGCTTCCCTTTTGTCCACCCTGCCCTTTGATTGTGCAGCTCTCCCAGCAGGGCAAATTGCAGCTGAAATGGTAGAAACAATGAGATCAGGCAGTGTCCAGATGGAGGCACTGGGAACCAGGCACACTTAACTGCATTACTTTCAGCCGGTCTGCCCTGGGTATAAGTGAGCAGGCCCCACCTTTCAACTGCCGGAGTGAAATCCACCCTCCTGACAGTCACATGGCTTTCCCCAAAGGCAGAGTTAATTGGAAAGTGAAATAATTAACAGGAGATGAGAGAGAACTAAGTAAAAATTGCATTGGAGGGGAGTTACCTTGCAAATGCCTTTAGTCCTTAAGTATTTGGGAAAGATTTTTTTGTTGTTGTTCAACACCTAATGCATTTGAGCACTCCAATTTCCTTATAAGCATTATCAAATGAATGATTGGCAGTTTATTATCTTCTGTGTGCAGCCACATATTTTATCATGGCAATAGGCATCTCAAACATGATTTTGCTTATTCACTCAACAAACATTTATTGGGAACTTTCTGGGTGGTTTGCTTTGTAGTAGGCATAGGGGATAAGAAGATAAATGAGTCTCTGACCTCAAAGTACTTACAGTCTAGGAGAGGGAGACAGAAAAGTACACAAATAAATGACACAAAGCATTATGGGGATTGTGATAGATGTCTTTATGAGAGACAATGGTGTTTGCAGAAGGGAATGGCATAAGGAATTAGGCTGCAGGGGGTAACTGTGTTTGAGACAATATGTTGTAATATACAGGCCATTAATCTCACTATTGATAAAAAATAAAATATCCCCATAGCAAAATGTGTGTTCCTTCATTTGTTCAATAAATGTTTATTCAGTAAAAGTGCCTACTACTTACCAGGTACTGTGCTTGGTACTCGTGTGATGGTGTGTACAGGCTAGAAAGGGAAACGGGCTTTAATTCAATTAATGCACAAATCAAATGTAAAATTAAAACTAAAATAAAAGTACAACAAAGATGACATACCTGGTTTCATGAAAACTTCTAACAGGAGTACTTCTCTAAGGTAGGGGGCCTCCCTACAATCGAGCTGAGATTCAAATGTGAAGAGTAATAATTAAGGATTCTGCTAGGTTCCAAGAAGAAAAAGACGGAGCAATCGAGGGAAACTGGGGGGATCAGAGACCAAAAATTCCAGTTTCACTATGAAGCCCCAGTGTGGACTTCAGTGACCAGATCTAGAAAAGTGTGGGGAGGTGTGGCAAGAAAGTTGGGAGGGGGGGCAGGGGAAACGGGTGACTGTAAGTCCTGCTTTGCCGGAGTCCAAACTAGGAACTCAGATTTTTCTTTTTTTTTGCACTGTAATGTTTAAGAAGTGCCAGCACTAACTCTCAGAAGTGTTCTAGTATGAGTTACCGCTTATACTGTTGCACTAAAGAGTGAGAAATTTTGTTTCCAAGCCCTTTTGTAGACCTGTCATCCTGTGAGTACACACACAGTGCCAACTAAAATCTGAAGTACAAATGACAAATTAGCAGAGCCCTGATTCATAAAAGATAAGTGGCATTCAACATTTTATGCCATGAATAAGATTCCTGTATTTTTTAAAAAATGGGACAGCAGCTTATGTCCACAGCAGTCATTTCTAGCAAAGCCAAGTGCAGGATTAGTCTAGATGTTGATGATTAGTGATGTCCCCTAAAACATTGCAAGATGAAGAAAAAGTAAATACAAAAAAGTAAATTTTTGTCTTAATTTTCTCCTAGGCACTTATAGGCTTAGCCTGGGGACACTGTCTCATGATACTTAAAAAACAGAGTCCAATACTGGAAGTATAAACAGGATTTCACAAAATCAGGGAGGCAGAAAATAACTCTAGGGATTCCAGGAACCACTGTGAAAAAAACCCTACTTGCTTTACTGCATTGAATTTTACCCATAATGCTTTCTGACACCTGTGTTTTGATTCTTAATAGGGACTATAAGCAGTGTTTTCTAATGAAGCGTGAATGCTAGAACATCAATGGCAAATAGGCACAGATAGATGATAGAAACATGGGTAGATACATAGATAAAGACAGATACATATTACAGGTTAAAACTTCCTAAGTCCACTAAGCCAACCATCATTTACTTCTCAGTGGAGATATTATCCAAAGCTTTCTTCAATTTACTAGTATTTTCCATTCTTTAACACATCTTAGGATAATGCATCCTGTATGTTTACTGCTTGTGTTTATAAAACAGTACTTACGATAAACTTTGAAGAATGCTTCTTCACACTGGTGGCATGGCTTAAAATCTATCTGCAATAATGTTAGTGTATCTACGTTAAAAAAAATTGGGTTAATGTCTTGGGCAAGCTGGGTGGCTCAACCAGTTGAGCATCCACCTTCAGCTCAGGTCATGATCTCACGGTTCATGAGTTCAAGTCCCTCATTGGACTCGCTGCTGTCAGCACATAGCCTGCCTCCGATCTTCTGTCCCAATCTCTCTCTGTCCCTTCCCAGCTTGTGCTCTCTATTAAAAATAAATCAACCTTAAAAAACCTTTTAATATCTCAAAAAGACATTCATTAACTACTCCCTCTGTGACTTTGTAGGCACTGGTTATGTCTGGCCTCTAGCACAGGTTCTGCCTTTCCGGACTGAAGGGTCAGTCCTCAGGAAGGTGCCAAAGTCTGGAGACTTTCCTGTAGAATTCATGCTGGGAGAAGCACAGCTGACAGAGTTGGGAGCAGTGATCTTGAGTGACTGTGCATTTTTTTTTGACCCATTTATGTCCACGAGACTCAAGGTTCCTTTTGAGATTGTCCAGGAGTTTTCTCAAGAAAGCTGTCAGTGCCTAACTTGGGTTTCAGGATGCCTCAGCATACTAACTCCCAACACCACACCGCTCCTAAAAGTCAGAAGGGTGGAAGGTCTTTTGAATTTCTTTCCTACTCCATTTCTTCTTCTCCATGTCCTTGACTGGCTCCCTTGTCTTCACACAGTCTTCAAATTCCCCCCTTAGTTCCTCAGTTTGTGCTGTTTTTCCTTGTTGCAGTGGTTCCCAGTGAACTACTTGTTTGAGCACAGAGATGCTAAACTCCCAGGTAAAGTGCAAACAGAAATGAACTTCAGTAGGAGGAAGCAAAGGAAGGACATGAGTTGGAGGGGAAGCTGGGACAGAAGTAAGAGGCAGCTTGAGTTAGGCAAAGGGACTGGGGAGTTGGAAAGTTCACATTCTCTCCTGGGCTCTGCCACCATAGGCAGGACTCACCATTAGAAAAGTTTCAGCTTTTTCATGCATACAAGTCGGGCTAAGCTAAGTGACCTGCAGGGCCTGTCCTCTAGGCTGAGATTGCATTCAACCAAAAGATCGGTAAAAGTTCCTATTGTTAAGGGGGATAAAGATGGTGATCAAAGCATCCTTATTAATGTTCCAAATCTGTGCCACATGTTTTTACTTCTGCAAATGAGAAAACCTTCAAAACCATTCTGGAATTAAAGGTGGCCATTACCAACTTTCAAATAATAAAGCCTTTTGACATTGAATTTTAAATATCTCCAACATGCTCACCTTTGTTTCTCTCTCTCTCCTTCTCCACCTGCCCCACCTTTAGGCTTACGAGCGGCCACAGAAACACTCAGCTCTCCACTATGACCCAGGCCTCCCACAGGACGTCACCAGTGACACCTTAAAACCAAAGCACCAGCAAAAAAGCAGCAGCCAGAACCACATGGACTGGTCCACCAACTCTGACAGTGGACCTGCCACTCAGAATTGCTTCATCAGTCCAGAGTCTGGCAGAGAAACTGCAAGCACCAGCAAGATCCCTGCTCTTGAGCCCGTGGCTTCCTTTGCAAAGGCCCAGGGTAAGAAAAGCAGTGCAGGGAGCACATGGAGTCAGTTGTCCAACAGCAGCAAAGATCTGCTCTTGGGAGGCGTGGTCCCATCCCCAGGCAGCCACAGCTCACCAGCCCCACCCAGCAGCTCTGTCGAGTGCAATGGGCTTCAGCCCTTGGTAGATCAAGATGGCGGAGTTGCAAAGGAGCCCCCAGAACCACCTACTATAGGCAGCAAGAAAAAGTCCAGTAAAAAAGATGTGATAAATCAAACCATATCAAACCCGGACCTGGACTGGGTCAAGAATGCCCAGAAAGCATTTGACAATACAGAAGGGAAAAGGGAAGGCTACTCTGCAGATAATGCCCAAGAGGCATCACCAGCCAGGCAGAACACGAGTTCTGTCAGTAATCCTGAAAATGACTCAAGTCATGTCCGGATTACTATCCCTATCAAGGCACCCTGTCTAGATCCAACCAGCCATAAGAGGAAAAAGAGACAGTCCATCAAAGCAGTGGTGGAAAAGATCATGCCAGAGAAAGCCCTGGCTTCTGGAATCACTATGAGCAGTGAAGTGGTTAATAGGATACTCTCTAACCCTGAGGGAAATAAGAAAGATCCCCGTGTCCCTAAATTGAGTAAAATGATAGAGAACGAGTCCCCCTCAGTTGGCCTTGAAACAAGTGGAAATGCCGAGAAAGTCATTCCAGGAGGTCTGTCTAAGCAGCGGAAGCCACCCATGATCGTGACGCCTCCAGCGTGCACAGACCACTCTCCATCGAGAAAGCTGCCAGAAATCCAGCATCCCAAATTTGCTGCAAAACGGAGGTGGACATGCAGCAAACCAAAGCCCACCAGTATGCTTCGGGAGGCAGTCATGGCCACCTCCGATAAACTGATGGTGGAACCGCCATCTGCCTATCCCATCACCCCATCCAGCCCTCTGTACACCAACACAGACAGTCTTACTGTGATCACGCCAGTCAAGAAGAAGCGGGGGCGGCCGAAGAAGCAGCCTTTGCTCACGGTTGAGACGATTCACGAGGGGACTTCTACCAGCCCGGTCAGTCCCATCAGCCGGGAGTTCCCTGGCACGAAGAAAAGAAAGAGACGACGCAGTTTAGCTAAGTTGGCCCAACTAGTGCCAGGAGAGGACAAGCCCATGAGCGAGATGAAATTTCACAAAAAAGTTGGAAAGCTTGGGGTGTTGGATAAGAAGACCATCAAAACTATCAATAAGATGAAAACACTCAAGAGAAAAAATATCTTGAACCAGATCTTGTCCTGCTCCAGCAACATTGCTCTGAAGGCTAAAGCTCCCCCAGAGACCAGCCCTGGGGCAGCAGCCATCGAGAGCAAATTGGGCAAGCAGATTAATGTCAGCAAGAGGGGAACCATCTACATTGGCAAGAAGAGGGGCAGGAAGCCAAGAGCAGAGCTGCCACCCCCATCTGAGGAACCCAAAACAGCCATCAAGCACCCAAGGCCTGTTTCTAGCCAGCCGGATGTTCCAGCCGTGCCTTCCAACTTTCAGTCACTTGTGGCGTCTTCACCAGCAGCTATGCACCCACTTTCAACACAGTTAGGTGGGTCAAATGGCAACCTGAGCCCCGCCAGCACTGAAACCAATTTTTCAGAGTTGAAAACTATGCCAAATCTCCAGCCTATCAGTGCTCTTCCAACCAAAACCCAAAAGGGAATACACAGTGGAGCCTGGAAGCTGTCTCCCCCCAGGCTGATGGCCAACTCACCTTCCCACCTTTGCGAGATTGGGTCACTCAAGGAAATAACGCTGTCCCCTGTGAGCGAGTCGCACAGTGAGGAGACGATCCCAAGCGACAGCGGCATTGGGACGGACAACAACAGCACGTCTGACCAAGCAGAGAAGAGTTCAGAATCCCGACGGAGGTACTCTTTTGACTTCTGCTCCCTGGACAACCCGGAGACCATTCCGTCTGACACCAGCACAAAGAACCGGCATGGCCACCGGCAGAAGCATCTCATGGTGGACAACTTCCTGGCCCATGAAAGCCTCAAGAAGCCAAAGCACAAGAGGAAACGGAAAAGCCTGCAAAATCGTGATGACCTTCAGTTTCTGGCAGACCTGGAAGAGCTCATCACCAAGTTCCAGGTGTTCAGGATCTCCCACCGGAGTTACACCTTCTACCACGAGAATCCGTATCCCAGCATTTTTCGGATTAATTTCGATCACTATTACCCGGTGCCATATATCCAGTATGACCCGTTGCTCTATCTTCGCAGGACTTCAGACTTGAAGTCAAAGAAGAAGCGTGGTAGGCCTGCAAAAACCAATGACACCATGACAAAGGTGCCTTTTTTACAAGGGTTCAGCTACCCTATTCCCAGTGGAAGTTACTATGCACCCTATGGAATGCCTTACACATCAATGCCTATGATGAACCTTGGTTATTACAGTCAGTACCCAGCTCCTTTGTACCTGTCGCACACACTTGGAGCAGCTTCCCCATTCATGAGGCCAACAGTGCCACCACCTCAGTTCCACACAAGCTCCCACGTGAAGATGTCTGGTACAGCTAAGCATAAAGCAAAGCATGGAGTGCACCTGCAGGGACCTGTCGGCATGGGCCTTGGCGACATGCAGCCATCCCTGAATCCTCCCAAGGCGGGCAGTGCCGGTCTGTCCAGCGGTCGGCTCCACAAGAGAAAACACAAACACAAGCATAAGCACAAGGAAGACCGGATCCTGGGGACCCATGACAACCTGAGTGGTCTCTTTGCAGGCAAAGCCACAGGCTTCCCCAGCCACATCCTGAGCGAGCGGCTGAGTAGTGCGGACAAGGAGCTCCCACTAGTGAGTGAGAAGAATAAGCATAAGGAGAAGCAGAAGCACCAGCACAGTGAAGCCGGCCACAAAGCTTCTAAGAACAACTTTGAGGTGGACACCCTGTCTACACTGTCACTTTCTGATGCCCAGCATTGGACACAGGCCAAGGATAAAGGTGACTTGAGCAGTGAGCCTACAGACTCGTGCACAAAGAGGTACTCTGGCAGTGGTGGGGATGGTGGCAGCACCCGACCCGAGAGCCTGGACGTGTTCAGTGACATGACCCCTTCAAATGACAAGTGGGACAGTGACATGAGCGGGAGTAAAAGGAGGAGCTATGAGGGCTTTGGGACATACAGGGAAAAGGACATCCAAGCCTTCAAGATGAGCCGCAAGGAGAGAAGTTCTTACGACTCCTCCCTGTCTCCAGGTAAGGCCGTGTTTCTCCTCAGACCTGGGCCGTCCTATTATTTCATTGCTGGGCTTTGCACGTCAGGAGTCTGCCATCATTGACACATTGTATTCACTAGTTTGCAGAGAGGTAGGGACCAGGTGGAAATGGGCATTCTTCACATGTGACTTTGCAGCACTATTTATACACGGGTTACTTGGTATTTACTGCCTTTCCTCTCAGAGTCATTGCCTTGGGATCCCTGGGCCTAGAGACAGCCTCAGTAGCTACCTAGACTACAACCACACCCACTATGTGCATGCCTTCTATTAGAGATGCTATGCTTAAGTCCTCATCCAATCTGATGGTGCAGTTTGTTAGTGGCATAAACCCTCTAAAACTCACTAAGAATGCCAGTAAGATCCCAAGAATGTCAATGCTGGATGGGAGCGATATCTAGTTCATCTGGCATGCGGCCTCCAGAAGTCCCACATCCTAGGTGAGAAGTCTACAGCAGAGCCATTGGAAGCTGCCCACCTGTGCATCCTCAAGTGTACCTAATGAGGGAGCCATAGCTCCAGGCTATCTTGTCCTCATTTTGTCCATGGGCATTTGATAAGCTTCCCTGAGGAGACCCCACTCATCATTTCCCCGCATGAAGGGGAGGGAGCCTGGCTGAAAGGTGTTGCAAGCCTCCTGCCCCTACGGGAACTTACTGCTGCATCTCTTGGCATGTCTGCTGGGAGTGGGATTTTGCCCACTGATTGCTAAACTTAAAGTACTGGTTGCTATTAGAAAGAGCTCATTCCTTGTCAGTTGCTGGCAGAATTTCCTTGCTAACGTTCCCACCCACACAGACCTTCCTTGCCACAGAAGCTTGATACTTTGGCGTAAGTATTCCTTTGTCCCTGTCCAGACATCATGAAAGTGATAAGACTCTTGTAGAACAGAACAGTTGTTTACGAGGAAAACAGCAGAAGCTCCTTTTCTAGGAGCTACAGAAGCTAAAAGGATTTCTCATGCTCCCTCTACCCCCAGATAGTACAAGCACTCTGGCCACAGTCTGCTTTTAAAAGACTAGTCATCTTTATTTCAGGTTTGGGTGTAGTGTTTCTCCTCTGTGATGTGTACCTCTTCCCTCCTGGGTAGTCCATCATGAGTGAAGGTGAGGGCAGTGTATTCACGAGGAATTAGAGTCATTTTTCTAGGCCAGCAGACTTCAGAAGAAATATGATTATGAGTTGGAAACCACTTAAAGATTGCCTCAAATTACCACTAGCTTGTGAGTTGCTGTAGTGGTGGATGTTCTCCTTGGTTAATGAAGAGACCAATTAGCAGTCATGTCTCCTACTGAAGGTGATAAATGGCCCACACTTCATAATTGCCCAAAGTGGATAAATTGCCCAAAGTGGATGTTCTCATCTAAGTTTCTCTGTTTCTCATCATCAGACTTTGTTGAAAGTATTTGTTTTTTTCTACACAAAGCTCAAATTAAGCCCACCTGGACGGAGTTGCTAGATTAAACTTTTACATGAGAAAAACTATTGCTCTCTTTCAGTATGGTGAAATTGATCCACAGGTCCAACACCAGCCATGGACAGAGGGTTTTCTTCATTTTTGTATTTTCTTGGCATTATTTAGCAAAACAGTAATGTTGCCATGTTATTACTAAGAAGCCACAAGCAAGGATCCTAACTTAACAGACCTGAGAAGCAAGATCTTAGAAGCTAAAATCTCTATCCATCATTGCTCATTAGATTTCTCAGCAGTCATACCAAGATTTTTCTCTGGTCGGACTACATTTCCGGGTGTTGGTTGACTTCATGAAGGTTCCCAGATAGAGATCCATCTCTGATCCCTGTGTGTCTCTGAAAGTGCCCACCCTCTTAGCCATACAGTTCTATCTGGGTTTGCATTCACATGATGGCATTACTTTCTTCAAAATTCCCCTTCCTCTCCCTATCTTCTTATTCATTCTTTACTCTGCCACATCAGGTGAAAAGAAACCAGCATTATGACAAGTGTCATAAAAGAAAGCTGGGTTCAACCTAATTGGGTATTAATTGGGTACTCTGTGATGTAGGACCTTAGGCATGGCATTCTGTTTCTTTGGGTTAGTGTCTACTCATCTGTATCTGACAGAGTTGGGCCAGACCTCTTTCATATAGTATGTTTCAGTTCTTAAAGCCATTTCACATGCATTTCTTGATGACACCCTGCAGTCTTAGAAGAGAGGTATTTTCATTTCTATTTTACAAATACATTGGGGTTCAGAGATCAAGTGACCTGCTCGGGTTTAGAAAGCCATTATTTATGATTTTAAGCCCAGGGCTTTGGCCATCGCATTGCAGCTTGAACACATGCCACCAATAGTTAAGCCAAGTCTAGAACACAGGTCCTGGTCCTCAGCTCAGTACTCATGTATTCCTCTATGGCCCTTCTTCTCAGATATCCATCCATCCCCCAATTACATGCCTTTCCCTAAGGCATCTTCACAGCGATTATGTGATAATTACAGAAGAGAGTAATTAAGGAAAGACCACATCCCTGTATTCAATTCCCAACCAATGAAAAAAGACCCCTAATGGCCCAACCTTTTCTAGACATTAGCCTGGAAATGTCTACCTGGACAGGCTTCCACCTCTGCTCCTACTGCAATCCAGTTCTCGGAGTTATTTTTGCTACTGCTTTGTGCTTACTCTGTGTTATATTTTTTTTCTTCTTCAGCTTTTTAATGAATCATAGTTGTTGGTGGTTTCTATATCTATATGAGTTATGTCTGTTGTCCCTACACATTTTGTTGAATATGTTACTGGAGGAGATCAGATTCTCTATCACTCCCCTCCCTTCCAAACCTTGGCCTCATCTCACCTGTATTCCAAATGTCCCCTCTATTTCTGAACCCCAAAAGCATCAGGGACAAAATGCCTTTAGCAGCACTTGGAATTCAATGTCAGAGTTTGTCAAGACTCCCTGAAGAGTGCTCACCTTAATGTGACACACTTGAAGAAACACCAAGTCCCATTAAAAGGTGGAAGGCAGGTGGAGTGAGACTGAGGTTACTGGAGGCATTAAAACCTTTAAGAGACTTTACCTGAGTCAAGGTGTCTCTTCTGTGGATGATACTGAGGGTCCTGCTTGGAAAAAAGTATCAGTATTCCTCACAATTTCTCTCCCTCTACCTTTTCTTTCTCCACTCTGGATTCATTCCATTAGCATCCCAATGTCCTATTTCACATGAGCTAGTCTTTTCTAAAATAGATATGACATAAATATAGATGCCATTCTTTAGCCTGTTGAGGACCAGATTTAGGAGCTAAGTCAAGAGAGGACTTTGAGCATTCCCTGAGATCAGAGCTGATGGAAGACACCATATAAATGGAAGTCATTACCATTATGGAGACAGAAATTAGAGACTTCATTTAGCAATAGCAATAGTTGCACACTCCATTTCCTCTTTCCTGCTTGGAAAATCATTCTTTCTCCAACCCCCTTGGCCCAGCAGATGGATGCATTGTCTTGTTAGCCCCCTTACAACACACCTAGAGCTTAGAAGTCACATTGACTCTTTACCATTTTTCTCTATTTTACTCCTTCTGCTTTGTGTGTTTGTTTGTTTGTTTGTTTGTTTGTTTGTTTGTTTCAGAAGGCAGTGGATCTTTTGATCTGTTTTCTAAATGGATACCATCTGCTAAATCTCCGTTTATAAAAATGCTTGTCTGGGACCAAATAATGGATAAGCAGTGGGAAGGTGCCATCCACAGATACCCAAAGCTGGAAGGAGCCTGATGGGCCCTCATGTGCACCTTTCTCCCACCAGGCATCACCATCTTTAGTGTACTGACATGCTGCAGATTCCTAGAAGAGCAATCCTGTCCAAGTTTGATAACACATAGTCAGAAGGATGCCACATGCTCTCAAAGCCAACTTCTCCTTAGGTGGTGGAAGAGGTCTGTAGTGTGAGTGATGTTCTCCCCATTCATACCATTTAGAAACAATTTTTGCTTATTTTGACCTAATATTATGCTGGGAACTTCAGACATCTTGAGCCCTGCTATCCAGGCTCCCATTTGATGTTGGAGAAACAGTGAAAAGAGTCAATTTACCTATGTTACCTCTTCATCCAATGCCATTAATTAGTCAAGGTAGCCATCCTGAGTCCACAGACGTCAAGTACTTTCCTCACAATGAATGGATGCTGAGAATGAATCCCTGGCTCTCCTCTCAGATGTCAGAATCTTGCCATGTAGGTAGGTAGATTCCCTTGAGCCTGGACAATTCCACCTCTCCTTGTGGCTTCTGCTTTGCCCTTTGCCAGCTCCTCTTCTCAGCGCCATGGGGCATTGTGGGAGGCAGTCTCTGTTGTCACTCATAGTCAGGAAATAGATGCCCAAGCCAAGAATAATACAAAACCCTCCTCCAATGAGGCATCCAGATGAGGAAATTAGCCACATTGATGAAATGTCATGAAAACTATATAAAAGAACTATGTGTGAGGAATGTTTTCTACAAATAGAATAGAAGGAAGAAGAGGTCTCATGGGAGAAAAAGTTAAGACCAGGAAAAAAGAAAGTGAAAAATAAAAAGATGATGAAGTGCAGTCTGTTTAATCTTAATCCAGGTTGAATGCTGGGTCATCCTGTGGGAGGAAATGAAAGATTAATTAGCTAATGGCTGCTGTGTAGTTTAACAGGATTATGAGCACCTGGCCCAGTCTTGTCTCCTCCACTATTCAGCTGAAAGACCTCTTCATCTTTTTCACTCTGTTTTCCCAAGTGGGACTGTGGTAGGAAAAGTTCTGACCAGATCTCATAGTCTCAGATTCTAAAAGTCTCAAATTTATACAGTGCAGTTTGAATGCAAACATATACGCACATGCATGTGCACAAACATACAGATTGGATAGTTAGGAAGAAAGTGCTCAAATTATTGGCCAACCTGGCCAATTAACTAGCTGTGCAATGAAATTTCCAAACAGATCCCTCTGGTCTATGTATTAAATTATATGACTCACCACCATTCATCTTTGGCTCCAGCCA